CCCCCCCCCCCCCCCCAAGGCCTTCCCGTAAACAAGTTCGAAATAACAATACCTCCAGCTATTGCCTCAAACACCGAACCACCCAAATCGATTTGTAAAAAGAGAGAGATAATCTGCATACACCGGTGAAGAAAGTCAATAGAGGTGTTTTTTAAAGAAAAGAAGATACAATGCAAATGGTAAATTGTGGTAAAACCAGACAACTGTTTGAGGTGAGCCAAAAAGTAGGCTCCAGCCAATGCCATGCACTCTATGGAGATGGAGTCAAAGATGGGGCGGGGACGGATGCGAAGTCAGTTCACAAAGGACAGACAGTGGCAGCTGGGCAAGCACCCATTTCCCGATGAACCCGATTTCCGGTAAATCTATTAGCCATTCACCGGTTCAAACCGGTACTGTAGCTTGTGTGAGTAAATTAAAGGTTTAGAGGAAACACGTGCCAGCTGAAGTGCAGGTGCACAGACGCAGGATGCCTCGTCGTATCTTAAGGCAGTAAGGTACACTAGAAAGTGATACTACGAAATGATACCAACAAGTGATACTAAGAAGTGAACTATGACTTTTCACTAACAGTACTCGCTTTGCAGTTAGGTTCGTTCTACACAAAACCGACTCAATTTTTCGCCCTCCACTCTAACCTTTGATTGACAAGTAAGTAAGGACAAAACAACACGTATTGCTCTGCTCTCACGATAACACAACATCCGACCTCGCCCCCCCCCCTTTCCCCTCCCCCTCGACGATTTAAGATTTAAAATTAAATTTGATTGAGTAATTCTTTTACAGCACTATCGACACAGTTCAACGGTTCAGAGAAAAAGAGAAAATGACTGGGACCAAACGAATGTCAACATCATTAGGAGAATCAGCTCGAAACACCTTAACAACCCCCCCCCCCAATAGTTTAAAAGGAGACAGCCCTGAGAATCAATCCATATACAACTGGCTGGTGATCCAGAAAACCAATTCAGGAACCAGAGAACATTCTTTTTTTTCTCGAGAAATCACCCCGCCAACCAAATTTGTGTCCCGGATTTAGCTCAGCTCTGTTTTCAGTACGAGACAGCGAGTATTCCAGACAGCTTCCAGAGACAGACGACAGACGAAAGACGAAAACGAGTCTGGAACAGACGAGACGGCCAATCAGTCTTGGTGCCAGGGTCAAGGACTCCGAGCCCCCGGGCCAGTCGTCTCGGTGCGTCTGAGTGGAAAATTGGAAGACAATTATTTGAACACCGCGCGGCCAAACTCACGGGCCATGAAGCCATGCATCTCCT